TTGGGAATTTTGCAGTGGATGAGAAAATAAATATTTTGACTAATGGCGTTAGATAATCTATAGCTTAAGCCAACTTTTTTGTTGAATGAAATATGCCATTAACTTTTGATTTAAAAATACTATGGAGAGAACTGTTTTAGGATTGGAGTTGTATATCATAAACATAGTGTCAGTTCAGATTCTCAGGGTCATATGTGAGAGAAAAAAATCTTTGCACAAATACCAAAATCGAATATGAGTTTCCCAGATAATAAAGCCATTGACAAATGTTACTGTTTAGTACTAAGTAATGTATTCAAATTTCTTCTTGTCTTCCCCCAATAAAAAGATTTAGAGAACACCACATAACCAATTTTAATTACGATACAATTGTGTTTTTGTATAAATCTGGGCATTCCATACAGTTCTTAATTCTGTACAGCATTAGCAAAACAGTTTACTGTGAAAACTTTTATAATATGTCGCAAAATATTGAACTGTAGTTCTTCTCCTGTATTCTTTTTGAAATACATTGAGTTTGAATATTTGGACTCCCAGCCATACTTAGTGACATTTTCAAATATGGCTAATGGTTGAGAATATCACAATTCCAAATCTTGAACTGTTAAAACAGATGTGTAGTCCAGTGAAGATAAGGTTTATGGGTGGCATGATAGCAGCCCTTCCAATATTCGAGAGGCTGTCACAGAGAGGAGGGGGTCAACTTATTGTCCAAAGCACCTGAGGGAAGGACAAGAAGTAACAAGTAAAAGATCATTAAAGAAAGATCAAACCTAGAACGAAAGACAAATTTCCTGTCGTTGAGAACAATTAATCAGTGGTACGGCTGACCTTCAGAAGTTATGGGTGCTCTGTCACTGGAGATTTTTTAAGAGGAGTTTGGGCAACCATTTGTCTGAAATGGGGTAAGGACTCCTGCTTGAGCAAGATGTTGGATTAAAAGACCTCCAAGGCCCTTCCAACTCTGATATTGTTTATTCTGTATTCCAGCCCAAATAATTTTGTATTATACTCCTGCTCAATATTTGGTTATTCCAATACAGAATTATTTGGGAGGGAATTGTCATTGCTACTAGAAATTGATTTTACCGGAGCGTATAAAAACAGATATATCAGTGGAAGGCAAAATCACAAAATTCCACCTTTCTTATTTTGACTGTCTTGTAGTCAAACTGATTGAAAAAAGGCAGTTTTGCTTGGAATGGTCAGCAGTAAAAGGAAACTATTCAGTCCAGCTTAGTTTTCCTTTAATAGTGCAATAGACAGAACATTGAAACTTAGAAAATGATACCTATGAAAAAGGTTCATTTAGGAGTGAGGACTACCTTTTTTGCTTTATAAGTTTAATTCAGTAAGGCAATCAAATAAAATGATTGGAATGCTAAGATTGTATCCAGAAGATATACTTTCAGATGTTTAATAAAATGGTAGTATTTTCTGGATCACCCTTACCAAGTCATGTTCTTTCAAACCAACCTAAAGGATAGTTGTAATTTTTTTCCAGAATGCTGCAGAAAAGGCATACACACAAGGACAGTCCTGTTTCATCCCCCTCTCCTCTGCATTCTGATCTGGCATTGATGCTAGATAGGTACCAGAGATGAGGCTTTTATCTGCTTTGGCTAATTAAAAAATTGTTCCTGTTCTTGAAAGACAGACGTTGGTATGTCAGTGACGCATATGCTGCTTTTCACAAGCTTGGACTACTGCATTGCATTCTCCTTCAGGCAACCCCTAGATGGAAATTGCAACTGGCCCAGAATGTAGCAACATGAGTTATAAATAATAAGATTATAGTAATTTAATACACATCATTTTAAAGACTACATAAATTTCTTTTTTTTAAACAAATTTTATTCAGTTTTTCACATTAAAAACAATTTTGAAACATTAAAAACAGCAGTTATACATTCATATATGCATACTTAATTCTATTATTACCTTTTCCATTCCAAATTTTCAGTAAGGAGAGAAACAAACACATTAATTCTAGCCTCTTTCATTAATCTCAATCGAAACATCTTTTTGTTTCATTTCAATTATTTCAAATATAATCCTTTAATATTTATTTTAAAAATAAAGATAAACAATATGTGCTTGCCTAATAATAATAATAATAATAATAATAATAATAATAATAATAATAATAATAATAATAATAATATATAAAAAGTTACCAATGTCTCTCCTTGCTTTTAATAGTCTATATTAACTTATTAATTTAGTTGGTTCTTTAGTCTGTCATATTCCCTTTCCATTACACATTTTTTTTATAAATTCTAGATTAATACAAATTTTAACACTAAAAAAAAGCAAGTATAGGTTTCCCCCCTTTTACTGTTTTGAGTGTGACATCTCAATGATTAAAATATACCTTTATTGTCTCATTTTGATTCCCAATGAACCATTATTTTTAAGGTTACAATAATAATCATTACATCTTTTCATTTGGATTCCGCAGCATATTTTCCCCCCTTGATTTTTAATAAGAGTTATCAGTATCTATATTACCCTATTTTCTAAATATTTTTAATTGCAGAAATATTCTTATTACCCCTTGTCACCCTGCAGAATCCCCTTTTTAATTCATCAACCATTATCTCTGAAAAAACCATTTCTTTTCAACATTTTACTATTTCCGTATTTCTTTATTTCATGCACCTGTTTCTTACTGCTTCTCCTTGCCCTCTTTTCCCCATATCTTTTCTCATTCCAGTTTATATCCCTCTCTTTCTTAATATCTTCCTTTCCCCTTTTCTGCTGGGCCTTTCTGCCTTTCCTGACTTCACAGGTATTCCCCCTTTTGATTGCCTTCTTAAATCTCAACTTTTTAACCTTCCTTCTTTCCCCACTTCTTTGTAGTGTTCTTTGTGTTAATTGTCTATTTAAAATGTCTTCTCCTTGAATCGACTCCTCCTCCTCTGAAGCTCTTTCTTCTTGTTCTTCAATCGCCATTTCCATTTTTCTAACACAGAGCAAAGTGATTCACCTCTTTCCTGTAGTAATTCTCTCATATTTTTAAGTTCCATTTTTAATTCCCGAAGAGGTATCATCATTACACACTCTTATATTTTATGATCATTAAACTCCACAAAAAAAAAAAAACACTTTTACTTTCCTTCTTTCTTCTTTCAATTTTCTAAAGTTCTCAGTTATTCCAGCGGAGGGTCTATACCAAAAACATCAGTCAATCCCACAGTCAGTCTTTCCTTGCTTTTTTCTTTATTCTGGTTCTGCTTTCACTTTCTAAGATTCTTACTTTGTTTCAATATTTCTTTAATGTTATATCCACACAAGTTCATTCAGAAACAGGATGCTTTCCCTTTTGTTTGAGCTCAAGTTTTTGTCAAAAGGTGGCACTCTCCATTATACAAAGTCTTCACCTTTTCTCCCTATTTTTTTATTTAGGGTTTTTTGAACCTCAATATTCCAGCACAGTCCAGTCTCCAATTTGTAAACTTTATTATTATTATTTTTTGACAATCTTAAGTCCAGCTTTATTTTATGCCTGTTTATTCCCAAAATATTTTAGTCCAATTTAGTTAAATCTTTAGTTCCAGCTTCTTCCTTTCCCGGTTCAAAGCCCCGTTTAGCTGTCAAAAATATTTTCTTTTTTTCCCCCTGTCCCTTTGTAATTTCTCCACTCACTTTTCTTTTCTTAAAAATTCCATGTTACCTTAATCCCGGGGTACTTTTGTTTAGTTGTATTGCCCAGTTGTCCCGGTTCCAATATTATCCATCTCTTTCTTCCCTCCTGCACAAATCTTAATCCATCTGAGTCCTCCTCTTTGGGGTGGCCATTTTAAACCACCGCTGCAGTCGTCTTCAGGGGGAAAAAGACCAAGCCCAGGGGGGAAGATGTGGCTCCCCTCAACCTGGCTTGCGGCTTCCTCTTACTCCGCCGCCCCTCCAAGGCAGCTTCAGCCCCTAATCGTAATAATCGGGGCTCTCCAATGAAAGAGCATGGACACGATGCCGCAGAGGGTCACGATCTACGGTCCGTCAGCGAGGAGGCTCCTAGACTACATAAAGTTCTTTGAGTATTGAAGTTCAGGTTTTTGCAAGTGACAAAAAATATGGTTTGTAGTTTTTGCCACGGGAGATTTGCATTAAATAGGGCCAATCAAGAAGATTTGCCAATGGGAAAAATATGATTGGAAACTAGTAGCTTTATTTCACAGCTGTTTCAGCTTGAACTTGAAATATAATGGAAGAATTTCTGAATTTTCAGAATCACCAGTGCAGATCCACCTAAGAATAATTTATAATAAGTGAGTTGGACATAGTAAAGTGAAACAGAAGGTGAAGAAATTGTAGATTAACTTCAAAGATGACTTATAGGTAGTAAAATAGCAAAATATGAACTGTACTTTTAGACTGCATTTTTTTTATCAACTTTACTCTGAAAAACACAAATAAAGTCAGAAATGTATCAGCATTCAATATTTGAAACTAAATAACTGTTCTCAAAATAATATAATCTGAGGAGAGAATTAGGAAACATACATGTTAAGATATATTTTGAAGTCGTATTCATTCCATGAATTAGTGTCATAATTCATACAATTATCATATCATGTCTTATACTTTCTAGTTTCATGAAAGTGAACAACTTTCAATAACCATTTATAGCCAGCCTTCCACAAATTTGGCCAATTCCTCTTTACATCTGTTAAAATTAATGGCTGTTATGATATCTGATGAAGGAAACATAACTGTGTGTTGTATAAAGAAAACCTTTTTTATTCTTCTTCTTGAATTTATTTTTTTATATTGAATTTGCACTTTTAGATAGTTTATTTTGTACTGACAATCTCTATACTGTCTTATGAATAAAGTTCTGATTTTACAATTACAAAACAACCCAAAGCATTCTAATTTTGCCTCTTATTTTCAACAAACATTTTTAAATAGTTATTTTTATTAACTAAATAGAATCTAACTTAAATGTAAGTAGCTGGAATTTATTTATTATTATATTTCTTTCTTTTCTTCACTAGTTTTGGATATGGCAAGGCATGTCCCCCTTTATAGAGCTCTTTTGGAACTTCTCCGAGCTATTGCTTCGTGCACATCTATGGTACCATTGTTGCTTCCCTTGACTGGAGAAAATGGAGAAGAGGAAGAAGAACAGTTAGAATCCCAAGCTTCGGTTGGAACTCTGTTAGCTAAGATGAAGACATGTGTGGATACTTACACTAATCGATTGAGGTATTTCTTGAGATTGATTGATTTTGAGAAATAGCATAATATAACTAGTTTAGTTTAGTTTATTGTCATTGCACCTCATACAATGAAATTAAATGCCATCTTCAATGTACATTATAACTATAAAAATAAAACACAAACACACATCCTTCACATTCTATACAATTGAATTGAAAACCCAATATTGCATTACTATTGCACTATACAATAGAATTCAATATAGTTTCTGCCCTGGGATAGAAACTGTTTTTTCAGCCTATTTGTCCTTGTTTTTATTATCCTGTACCACCTGCCAGGTGGTAATAGTTCAAAAAAAGGGTGCCCCGGATGAGATGGATCTTTAAGAATGTTTTGAACTTTTTTAAGGCAGCGGGATCTATAAAGCTCTTCCAAAGAGGGGAGAAGGCAACCAATGATCCATTGGGCAGTGATGCTAACCTCTGGAGTGCTGTCCTATCTGCCACTGTGCAATTGGCAAACCATATACAGGTGCAGTAAGTTAAAATACTCTCTCTGGTGCAGCGGTAGAAGGTCACCAGCAGTTTTTCATTCAGTTGTTGCTTCCTGAGAAGTCTCAGGTAGTATAATTTCTGCTGATCCCTTTTGACCAGTGCTGCAATGTGAGTCCCCTAGGTCAGGTCCTCTTTTATGATAACACCCAGAAACTTAAAACTGACCACTTGCTCCACTCGGTCTCCATTGAGAAGCAAGGGCTGGGTGTCTGATCTATTCCTTCTGTAGTCCACTATAAACTCTTTGTCTAAAAACCCTGCATAACTCTAGGAAATCTTTTTTTGGAACCAACAGATGCTAGAAATTTTGGATACATTAAAACATTAATATTTAATAAATTGAGACGATCACACCAAAATTCAGAATTGATCTGAATTCCAAAACAAGTGTATTAATAGAAGACAAGACAAAAATTATGAAACCAAAGTTAATGTTTTTTAAAGAATAGGACTATGCAGTACTTCATAGGGATGATAACTAACCGTCTACACCTTCTTAAGCAACTCCATCTTACTCTAATCTTAGAGCTCGTGTCCTGGGATCATGTTGAATATTAATTATTATCTTCATAGTTGGTACTTCACTGTATTACAATATTTATCAAGCCACACCTAATTTTTAATTTGTTTTAAAGCACAAAGGAATTGGAGAAAAAAGACTCCTCCATCTAGATTTTTTAAAAAGCTAAGCTGATTGTAGAACAATTAAAACCCGGTGTAAATTGGAATACTGTGGTGGGTTTTGAACAGTATATTTCTCCAATGGCTGGATTTGAATTATGTTCAAAGTTTTCAGCATTATGAACTTATTTTTTCAAATATTTATGGATATACTGAAAAAATAATGAAATTGTTGGTCCTTATGTGCCCCAACAATTTCTTACCATGCCAATATATGTGTATTGAATATTGAATACAGAAATAGAATATAGAAATTTCAACTGAAATGTACTTAATGTTTGACAGCTGAAAATTATAACTAAATTATTAAATTTGGGCAAAAAGAATAAGACCCAAAACCAAGATTCATATTGGTACATTCCTAGCCTCTTTTTCTTTCATAATGGAACTCAGGTAGACATAGGATACTTGTGATATGTTGCCATTGTTCTTCAGAAATAAACAGGTCATTAATGAGTCAAACATTTCCGAAGAGCATCTTAAATAAGTCCTTGAGGAACCCCAATATTAAAGAAAAAAATGAAAAAGTATCCTTAATAAGAGAACTAAAGAAATAAATGAATTCCCAAAATACACAGTAGAAAAAAATGAAAAAGTAGTCAACTTCTTTCTCACTCAGAATAGTACATAATACAAGCAGAAAACATTGGCAAAATATAATGAAAAAGTATTATAGCAATAATTTGAGTAGAATATATTAATAACAGAAAAGTTATTGCATTGATTCCATGGAATTTGTAAATAATGATGATAATGGAGAAAAATATTATTGCCCACAAGAGGACGAGAATAGGTATAAAAGCTATCATAGAAAAGCAGCTTGTATTAAGTTTTAGAATGAAAAATGTGCAAAAATCTGGGTCAAGAGAAAGAATATCTTTAAAAAGTTTAGTAAAGAAAAGCAGACAGAATATAATATAAATAAAAGAAAGCAATTGATAATCAGACAATAAAAATAGAAAATAATAATATTAAACATGTTTGCCTGTCCCATGAATTATAAAATAACCAGAAAAGGGGGCAAACAAAATATTTCAGAACAAGAACAACAAAATAAATTTATATGTTAAAGCAAGCATTCAGAATAAAGAAAATACAACAAAAATATCCAGAATCTAGAAGTTGGATTAAGAAAATCAGAACAAATTATAATTCGTATTTCTCCTGACTCCAGATAATAAAAAGCTTTTACCAGAAGAAGGTTTTATGTTGAACAAAAATATTGTTATACTGTAGATGAAAGGCACATTAAAATCTGATAAATAAAAGCAGTAAAACAAGAAGTATTAGCCTATTAGCTTTAATAAGAGTTAGATGACAAATTAAGTTAAACTTAAGAAAAATAAATGAAGAAAAGTAGTCAAATTAATCAGACACAAGGAACTTAGAATAAAATTTAAATGTTGATATTTACACAAATATTCCATGCACATGTTTCGCAACTTAGCTTATTCAGCATACTAATTATTCTAGTTTCTGAAATAGATTTTATACACTTACTTTGCTAGAATTTAAAGAAGCATTTATCAGCATTGTCTTGATAGAGAAAAATAAATAAAATTTGGATAGAGAAAAAAGGAAAGAAAAAATTTATATATACACGTGTACACACACATACACAAGAATCCTGCATTTGTTGGGGATATGCAAAACTTTAGAAAGAGGTGCTTTGCAAAAAATTGCTTTGAAATCTGTTCCCAGTTGTCTCAGCATGTGCATAGGTAGTCAAACCATTTTGTTAACAGTTCTAGCAGAAGTGTGCAATGTATGCACATATGGAAAACTAGAGGCCATTTTCAGGTAGTCTCATAAACCTTGCAAAAGATTTATTGCTTCAGTGTTGTTTTGTTAGAGATGTCCTGTTTATCCGTTTCGAGAAGAATGTGGTTCAAATTCTATATATTAAATTTTATTTTTATTATATGGTTTCCACATTTTAAAGGCACATGCCGGGTTAATCTTTCAATGCGTTATATTTAAAGCATATTTCGTAAACATTTTCACTTCTATCAAAGTTTTTCTTTTTTAAATCTTGTCCAATTTTGACCTATTCTGTAGATCAAAAAAAGACAAGTCAAAACCTGGAGTAAAGTCAGAGTCTTCAGATCAAGAACCAGAGGGGCTGACTCTTTTGGTGCCCGATATCCAAAGGACGGCTGAAATTGTTTACGCTGCGACAACAAGTTTGCGTCAAGCTAATCAAGGTAAATGAGCATGAATTTTTGCATTCCATCTTTTAGTTCTCAACAAGACTGAGATAACAATGAGTTCAAAAATGAAAAACTTTAAAACAAAGTATGGACAAGTAGATAAAAAGTAACATGCAATCATTTTAAAAAATTAAAAAATACATCAAATGTATCTGATGTAACTAATATACCTGGGCAAGAACTTCATCATTCTTCCTGAGACATAGAAAAATGAAACATTACCCCAAGTTCTTTTGCATACGTGTCTCAGGTGTGGAAGATCAAGGCCACACATGAAGTTCCAGTTAAACTGATGTATTGCCTGTGCCCAGGATTCTAGTCAACTAACTGTTAGCATTATTTGGTGCTAGATGAGGGTTAAGGGAAATTCAAGAAACGTTTGAATTAAGAAAGGTCTGTTTGGTGTCCATTTGTGCCAATGTAGAGACTCCAGGCCAGGGGTATCAAAGTGGCGGCCCAAGGCCGGATATGTCACACGCAGGCCACGCCCACCCCAGCTCCACAAGGGGAAAAATAATGCACAACGTTGGTTCCAAAAAATGCCATTATGTTTGATTTTAAGCATAGTGTCTCTACAATTAGGATGAGACTGTTTTTTGATTATGCAAAATGGTACTTCTGAATTTTGCAGTAATTTAACAGTCCTGTATTAAATGTTATATGTTTTGTTGTAACCATTACAATAGAGAGAAAATTGGCTGAATCCTCTAAAAAAGCTGCAATGAAACCCAAGCCATTGTCAGTTTTAAGATCTCTTGAAGAGAAATATGTAGCTGTAATGAAAAAGCTCCAGTTTGGTAAGTAAATAATCTATATTATAGCATTAAACAACTCAAAGGCATCTTTGTTGCTTTTGTTGCTTTGAGGTTTAATTTTCAAACACATTTTTAATGGAATATCTATATGAAAGATTGACAAAAGAGATATTTGTATTACTCCTTGTAGTCCTTTCAGAATGTGTTTAATGATTTAGACAATACAAGAAGATACAACCACCCACAATTCCTACCCTCAAAGCTACATATAAATTAAAATTTGCCAAAAATGTTTGTCAAAATTCTGGATATAATTACCTGAAGTTTAGTACAAGTTTAGTATTTGTAATGGAGTAAGAAAGAGAAAACCAGGAGCACTAGCAAAACTTTCAAGGGAAATGCAACTTTGACAAATAAATTTGAAATAAGCAAGAAAGGTAACATTATGCAAATATATTTTGGAAGGCATTTCGAAGAATAAATGTTAGTGAAGCAGAAACAGTATCATAGTTTGAGGAAGACTATTGCTATTTTAGAATTTAGAATCTGTAAAGAATTCTCTTATGTTAACACTTACAAGAGAGGAGTATATCTTTACTTCCTGCTTGTGATCACCAACAGGCATCAGATTGGCCACTATGAGAAAAGTGCTGGACTAAGGAATGTCTTGCCCTAAACCAGGAGAGCTATCCTTGTTCTTAATTCTTAATAACTCACCTTCTCCTATAATTATTGTTATTGTATCATTACTGTTGTATTCTGGAAGAATACATAGGCAGAATAACTTCACAGTTTTAAATTACACAGTATGTAGAGATAGTGTAGATATGAACTGGGGAGGAATTTGGACTGACATTTTAATCTTTTAGAACTGTTTTGTGAAAATATTTTTATCTACTGATTTGTTTTTATTAAATTTAATTATTTTATCCAGTTAAAATTACATTTTTCCTCTCCTAAGTAAGAATGTAATGCTTTTTATTTTTAGATACTTTTGAGATGGTTTCTGAAGATGATGATGGGAAACTTGTGTTTAAAGTAAATTACCACTACATGTCTCAGGTGAAAAATGCCACTGATGCAAACAGTGCTGCTAGAGCCCGACGTCTTGCCCAAGAAGCTGTAACGCTTTCTACGTCACTGCCACTTTCTTCATCATCCAGTGTTTTTGTCCGCTGTGATGAGGAGAGACTAGATATCATGAAGGTAAAAAGCCAAACTTATATCCACTATGCTAGTTAAGTAATATACTTATTGGACCTGGGAAGATTCAAGGGGCAATTTAGGCCTCTGCTTCTATACATCTCTTTCCCACCTGATAGAATTTGATAGTTCAGTTAGTTCGCTTTTCAAGTCTAGTGTTCAAGTTCTTATGGAAACAAGTTTGCCAGAAGCCGTCTCCTAAATTTGTTTTAGTTTTATGAACAGAAAGATGACAGAAGAGCAAAAAGGAAACAGGAGAGACAAGTCATTGAAATAAAAAAAACAGAGAGAAGTGAAAACTCTAGGGACTATCATTAGCTGCAGATAAAAGAGGCTGTGCCCATCTGTTTAGGAGAAAGAAGCCAAACAGCCATTCAGAAGTAAGAGTAAAGGTAAACTTAGCCAAAGACTATTGCTTGAAAAAGTAAATTAGCTAATTAACCAGTTGTAATTTCTATGGCAAATTGTATTCTGATCTGGTTTCTTTTGATTCTTAAGAATAACTGAATTTAACTTTTTCAAAAGGTTTTGATAACTGGCCCAGCAGACACACCTTATGCAAATGGCTGTTTTGAATTTGATGTGTATTTTCCACAAGATTATCCTAATTCACCTCCACTTGTCAACCTGGAAACAACTGGAGGACACAGCGTGAGATTCAATCCAAACCTATACAATGATGGCAAGGTAAATGGTTGGTCATACTCATTGCAGACCAGTGTGATGAAAACAAATCTTCTGGTCATCCTTGATGAAGTTGGCATCTACAGTTTTAATTTAGTAGAATGAAAATATACTAAGATCATAATTTGCTTTGTGTAAAATAAAATACTGTTGCCTGGAAAGGCCCCATAAAATACTATTAAGATGATAGATAGATAGATAGATAGATAGATAGATAGATAGATAGATAGATAGATAGATAGATAGATAGATAGATAGATAGATCGATCGATCTTTGGTTATTCGGGTTTTCTCCCGCGTAAAATTGGAAGTAACTTGGCGACGTTTCGACAAAGTCTCATTCATCATCTTCAGGCTTGTGTCTTCGGCTTTGTGCTTCTCAGAGAAGTGCTGAGAGAACTTGAGAAGCACAAAGCCGAGGACACAAGCGTGAAGATGACGAATGAGACTTCGTCAAAACGTCGCCAAGTTACTTCCAATTTTATGCGAGAGAAAACCCGATTAACCAAAGATCCACATACAAATACCCGCGAAAACCTCAAAAAACATATATATATTCAGATCCACCAGTAAGTAGAAACCAGTCTTTGTATATTAACCGTATTTCTGAATTCAGTGTATAACATCAGAGTTTATTTTCAGTAGAAGATCATGATGATATGTTTTATAATATACCAGTCACCCCTTGAAGACAGAGGAAGACACTTTACCGTTTCTTAAATTATACAGCGCTCATCAGCTTTGGACAGGAGAGAAGCATGTAATAGCATTTATGAAGCCTAAAGGATTGGAGTCCTAAATGGTTCAAAATCTTTATTTTCAGGTTTGTTTAAGTATACTCAATACCTGGCATGGAAGACCAGAAGAGAAGTGGAATCCCCAGACATCGAGCTTTTTACAAGTATGTAACTTTTTCTTCATTAGTGTGTATAAGTCATGATGTTGCAATATATAAATCCTACAACATTTGCATCTAATGTCAGAAATCAAGTACATTACTGCATGAATATTTTCATTTTTCCATCATTGCATCTAGCCCCAGATGCCTTGAAAGCAAGCTGTTAAGTAGAGTGTTTGCGTTGAGATGGTTAAATATAAGTATTCTTTACAAAATGCATATTACTCATGTCCACTATAAACATATTTAGCCATGGTTTCAATAGGTTATCAAACAGCATATGGAAGAGCCTGTGGATAAGCAAGAAAATGTTTATCGAATTGTAGCACAAAATATTTAATCGTTTGATTGTTTTATGTTAAGAAACAAAACGGAAATGGATCTATGTTGACAAGAAAAAAGTGGTAAAAACACAAAGTGCTCCTCCCATGAACAGAATCAACTGTTTTGTAAGCCTTTTTAAAACATTGTTAAAGGCACACTAGTACGTTTAAGGTGTTATGATAGCATATAAGCACTTAAACTGAGCAGAGTATCAATTTGTTAACATGAATCGATCTCTGCAAAGGGGCAATGTTAATGGAAAGCTTCCGTTATTTTTATGTTTTCATTCATTCTAATGTTAAATTATAATATAAAACATTTCTTTTTCTTTCTACAGGTACTGGTCTCTGTGCAATCGCTCATTTTAGTTGCAGAGCCTTATTTCAATGAACCAGGCTACGAAAGATCTAGAGGAACTCCAAGTGGCACACAGAGTTCCAGAGAATATGATGGAAATATACGGCAAGCAACCGTTAAATGGGCAATGCTTGAACAAATCAGAAATCCTTCCCCATGTTTTAAAGAGGTTTGTAATTGTGGTTCTCTAGATGATCTAACTTTGTAAATCTAATGGTCTTCAATGGAACCATAATGTAACCAAGCCAAGGATATGACCTAAAGTACATGTTTCTCATGGAGATAAGGCATATAGATTAAGCAGCCATCGTTCTGTTTCTCAACTAGAACGCCTTTGCTAAGCCTACCAGGCATACTTTTCTTGTTGTTCCTCACATAGTATTCATTCACTCAACAGGGTAGGGAATAGGCCCAAGGAGTGTGGGAACCTAAGAGGACAAGAAGCAGACCCAAAACCTGCAAGGACCCATTGGGGCAGGATGGTGGGGGAGGGGCTGCTGCAGTGTCTCCAGGATGTTTCAGGCAGGTTTGCTCAGCACCGTCATAATTTTGAATGGTCTTTACATTGAGAATTACCTGTATATTGATATGTGAATTTACTAAAACTCTATTTCTCAAAGTAATACAGACCTCTTCCATTTTGCCTACAAGAGTAATTGTTCACAAAGACAAGTAGTAAAAATAGTTCTGCAAATTTTTATTATATAAAGTGAAATCTCATTTTAATATAGTAATTGTGGAGATGCCAATTGTTTGTAAATTATCTGTTTAAAAGAACTAGCTATTCTCCCAGGGCTCGGGGATGGGTAGATGTAGAATTCTTGGCTTGTAGATATTTGTATATATAGTGTATTCTTTGGATGAATGGGTTAGGGTTAGGGTTTTGTGTGTGTGTGTTTGTGTGTGTGTGTGTTATTCTTTGAATAGATTCAGTTTTGTTTACTTATATGTATTACATATTTTTATTTTTTATATTGTTGCTTGTTTTTATATTGTGAGCTACCCAGAGTCATTTTGCAGCCAGGCAATGTCTAAATACACTGCTCAAAAAAATAAAGGGAACACTTAAACAACACAATGTAACTCCAAGTCAATCACACTTCTGTGAAATCAAACTGTCCACTTAGGTAGCAACACTGATTGACAATCAGTTTCACATGCTGTTGTGCAAATGGAATAGACAACAGGTAAAAAGCATAGGCAGTTAGCAAGACATCCCCAATAAAGGAGTGGTTCTGCAGGTGGTGACCACAGACCACTTCTCAGTTCCTATGGTTTCTGGCTGATGGTCTGGTCACTTTTGAATGCTGGCGGTGCTTTCACTCTAGTGGTAGCATGAGACGGAGTCTACAACCCACACAAGTGGCTCAGGTAGTGCAGCTCATCCAGGATGGCACATCAGTGCGAGCTGTGGCAAGAAGGTTTGCTGTGTCTGTCAGCATAGTGTCCAGAGCATGGAGGCGCTACCAGGAGACAGGCCAGTACATCAGGAGACGTGGAGGAGGCCGTAGGAGGGCAACAACCCAGCATCAGGACCGCTACCTCCGCCTTTGTGCAAGGAGGAACAGGAGGAGCACTGCCAGAGCCCTGCAAAATGACCTCCAGCGGGCCACAAATGTGCATGTGGCTGCTCAAACAGTCAGAAACAGACTCCATGAGGGTGGTATGAGGGCCCGACGTCTACAGGTGGGGGTTGTGCTTACAGCCCAACACCGTGCAGGACGTTTGGCATTTGCCAGAGAACACCAAGATTGGCAAATTCGCCACTGGCGCCCTGTGCTCTTCACAGATGAAAGCAGGTTCACACTGAGCACATGTGACAGACGTGACAGGGTCTGGAGATGCCGTGGAGAACGTTCTACTGCCTGCAACATCCTCCAGCATGACCGGTTTGGCAGTGGGTCAGTAATGGTGTGGGGTGGCATTTCTTTAGGGGGCTGCACAACCCTCCATGCGCTCGCCAGAGATAGCCTGACTGTCATTAGGTACCGAGATGAGATCCTCAGATCCCTTGTGAGACCCTATGCTGGTGCAGTTGGCCCTGGGTTCCTCCTAATGCAAGACTATGCTAGACCTCATGTGGCTGGAGTGTGTCAGCAGTTCCTGCAAGACGAAGGCATTGATGTTATGGACTGGCCCGCTCGTTCCCCAGACCTGAATCCAATTGAGCACATCTGGGACATCAAGTCTCGCTCCATCCACCAATGCCACGTTGCACCACAGACTGTCCAGGAGTTGGGGGATGCTTTAGTCCAGGTGTGGGAGGAGATCCCTCAGGAGACCATCCGCCACCTCATCAGGAGCATGCCCAGGCATTGTAGGGAAGTCATACAGACACGTGGAGGCCACACACACTACTGAGCCTCATTTTGACTTGTTTTAAGGACATTACATCAAAGTTGGATCAGCCTGTAGTGTTTTTTTTCACTTTAATTTTGAGTGTAACTCCAAATCCAGACCTCCGTGAGTTGCTAAATTTGATTTCCATTGATAATTTTTGTGTGATTTTGTTGTCAGCACATTCAACTATGTAATGAACAAAGTATTTAATAAGAATATTTCATTCATTCAGATCTAGGATGTCTTATTTTTGTGTTCCCTTTATTTTTTTGAGCATTGTATAAATAAATAAAGTGTATCGTTGCCAGCAATGTATATCATTTCTGCAACGACCTTATTTGTACAATTGAGAAACATGTACATTTGAAAAATTGAACCAATGACATAATATTTCTTCCTGCAAATTTAACATTATTTTATAAAAGCATCTTATGGAAAAACATCTTTTAAATTAAGAACATTCTTTTTTTCATTTTATTTGATTGTTCAGTGTCCCATATCTAATTATGCATACAAGTTTAGAGGACATCCTAAAGAAAGAATACATTCAAAGAAAGCAATAGGAATATCTTGTTTTTGCTAAACAAAGTAATATTTAAACCCTGTTCACTTCCTTGAAGTTTCCTCTGCACTATACTTACTTTGTTGGAAGTAGCATTCCTAAAGCATTTGCAATTGTAGAAGTTGGCAGTAGAAACTGAATTACCGATTTATAATTAAAACAATGGTGAGCCTGAACATTGCACAGAAAAGGGCTTTGATACTTAAAGTACAATGAAAACAAGCCGGACCACTAGCTTCCACTTTTTAAGGCCATGACATGTTAAAGACAGCTCTAATGAAATACATAGTTGGCTCCTGTTCTCCTCTAATTATCTGTACATTTCTTTACTTACTGCCAAATTTGGAAGTGACCTTGCAAACTTCCATTTGGAGCCAAAATAAATCATGCATAGCCCTGGCCTTGTTTAAGATTATATATGTGTCTCTCTCTCATCATCCATCAGTCGTATAACCCCCACCATTGTAATACATTACTGCTTAGTTAACTCCTTGTGATTTTTTGTTTCTGACACAGTATATATAGTAGGTATTGTTGCCAAGTATTTTTTGCAAAATTTTCTAAAGCATTGTGTGCAGTTAATAGATAAAATATCTATTGGCATTTTTAGTGCAAAATCCTAATGGTCCCTTGGAATTAAATTTGGCCAATAGTAGCATTAAATTAACCTAATAGAAGCATAAATAGATCAGTGCATAGAGTGCCAGCATTCCTTCAATTGTATTTAAGGCTTGAGTATTGTACCACAAAACTATATGTTCCTAAACCTTCCCATTTTCTTAGCAATTTTTTTTGTAATCTTAATCATAAATAATATTCAAAGAGGTTGTTTTTAAACAATGGATGACTTCAACTGTACTTAAAGCTAGTAGGAGTTATATTTGGGTTTCTTTATTTACTTCTTTATTTAATTATTATATATAATCATCCAACTATCAGATTGGGACTTTGGGTGAATAACATAGAATTAAAACCAAATACAAACACTAACAAAAATAAAAACAATAGAACAATAATAGATACTTTCATATCAATCATTGCATTTCTATCTCAATTTTGAGGCACCAGGAACTATCATGATAAATCAAAACAGAAACATCTCTCTTTTGCATAAGATAAGGTTTATAAATAAAAGGTTCTTTCATGTAATTTGTTATCAAGACTTTATATATTAAAGGTAGAACAAGTGTCTAAGGCTTATTTCACACTCCTAGTTAAACGTGATTTTTTTTTAAATTTGATAAGCATTAAGCTGCATGAAATTCAATAAAGAACCCCTTTCCTTTCAGTTCTTTAAAATCTTCTCAGTTGAATGGCTGGTAAACTGAATAAAAAACAGGGAAGTAACTCATGATTCAACATATTAAAATCCATTTAAGAATTGTTTAATCTATAATAAAACTTTAACATCAAATTAAAATACAATAAAGAAAATTTAGCTAAGAATGTGAGCTCAAACACAAGTAAGTCTACTCATTATGGAGTTTTTATTATTTATTTATATCCCATCTTTTATTATTTTTACAAGTAACTCAAGTTGGCAACCATATCGAACACACCTTCCTCCTCCCATTTTCCCCACTGCAACAACCCTGTGAAGTGAGTCACACTAATAGTGACCGGCCCAAGATGGTAATCTTGCCCCCCCCCCC